TTTTGATTTTGATAGCTCCTCGCAATTTTACGGAGTAGTGAGGCATAGTAAGTCCCAGTAATTATGGTACCCTTTGCCAAGAAATCTGTCATCAGTATTCCGTACTGTTCCCAAAATATGGTGAGCATGACCTCTCCTGCATAGGGCTGAACACTTGCCTTCTTTGGGGGTGGTGATTCAAAGTGCTTTCACTGCACAGACTGGACTTTAGTCTCAGGGTCATAGTGATGAACCCATGCTTCATGCTATGTGACGGAAAAGCCTTTCAAAAAAGGCTTCTTGGTTTTGTTTGCTCATGTCCAAAAGAGCCTTTGAGCAATCGACTAGTTCCTGCTTCTGAAAGGAGTGACCACCGTGCAAACACCTTATGCATGTGAAAATGGTCGTGAAGGATTTTTTCCCACAGACCCTACACTTATCTTGACATTTTGGGCTAACTGGCCAACAGTTATGCCATATTCTAAAATGGCAGCCTCCACTTGCTGGATGGTGTCTTCATCGTTGGTAGGGTGGGGAATGGGAATGGAGCCGTTTCAACAGATGTTCGGCCGAACCTATAGCTTCACGTAACACTACAAGAATATGTTAACTCCTGAGTTTAATCACACGTTAGAGTCATATTTCCGCAATAACATAATGATTACGGTGTTGACTAATAAATGATTTTAATATTTATTTATTTGATTATTTATTTATTATTTTTTATTATTTATTTCTTTTAAATCATATAATAAATGGGGTACATATCCAAAATCCTCATCTTTCAGGTTAGAATTATACCACGTGAGTTGGAATTCTTGACTTTCAAACATCAAAATATAAATTGTTTCGTTAAAGAAATAACTTGAAATACACACCAATGTATTTTTGCTATGCGTTGGCATGGCACATATACTGACCATGCAAATTTGCACACGTGTCACTATACATTTGCATGACCTCCAGACCACATGCAAATTTGATCCTTGTGTAAATATACCAACGTGTGTTACAGTTTACTAGATGCGTTCGCATGACACATTTACACACGTGTGTACTTTTTAACATCGTGTGTAAATTAGCTCACGTATGTAAACAGGTGCATGCCAACAGGGTATAATTAGTAAATTTTCTATGGTAAGTAAACTGACCATGTAAACGTCACAAAATGAATTTACTCATGTAAGTATTTAGGTCTACTCCCATTTGTGAGAACTCCCAGTTGTGAGACTCCCAGTTGTGAGACAGTGGAGAAGGTAATTAGCAAAGAAAACACACCTTACTCCCCTATCTGATTGAATGGATTAACCCAAGCTAATTATGGATTAGCTATTTCACTGAATCTTGTGGAGGTAACTTAATGAAACTCTAAAAGATAAAGTAATTAACCTACTCAGATAAATGGCTTTAAAAAATAAACACTTTGTGTAGGTAACTTCGTGATCATTTGAAAGAGAAATTAATTTACCTACTCAGATTTACGTGTTTGAAAAATCTAGCAATAACTGTTGTAACTATAATTAATACAAATGTATTTATTAACCTTTGACTGCTCTTTCCGATCACCATTATGGCAGGCCTTCAACAAGTAGAATATATCACCAGTTCACGATAATCTTTTTCAGTATTTCAGTATCAAATGAAAACATAAATGCTCTTCAACGAACAATGTCTTCTGTGTTAATTAACTCATTAATGAACTATGCCTCCTGCGGGTACTCTTCAGCAACAGGGCTGTTCCCACTTTCATCATAGGGACGGGGAAGCACCACCTGTGTGCACTGAACCATTAATTAATGTGTCTCACAACTGGGAGTTCTCACAAATGGGAGGACACCAAGTATTTATACTACTGGAGTAATTTACACCTACTCCAGACTCCAGAGGTAAAGTAAAAGTATATTTACTCGAGGAGTATGTTACTCCACGAGCAAATTTATTTTATAAAGGACACTTTGATTTGCTCCTTTAAGTACATTTGTTTGCATCATGTATTCAAATGGACTATTATTTCATCATTATTATGTTTTATCAATGTTTCATCAAAAGACATTATAAGTGTCATTTGGAATTGATATGTTTTCATAATCCGTCTTTGTTCCTTTTATTCAATTTCTTTTTGTACGACCATGTTACAAGGCATGGATGCTACTTCATTTAAGTCAGTTTGACAGCGGTCTCGTTTTTCAGTTGTTCATTTAAAGTTTTTAGATTTTACTTCAATTGTTCAAATTGTGTTTTCCTTTTCTGTTTCAATGATTATGTAATACACATTGTTCTCAAGTAAAATAGAGCGATAAGTAATTTCTTCTACATGTAGTTTGTAACAGCCCTGTCAATTGGACAGTCAGCTTGTTGGAAAACAATTCGACCTGTGCCATAAGAGGTTATGATGCAAAACCCTTTTATACGAATCAAAGAAGTTGTTATCCATAAAGTTTGTTCTATTTTATATAATTCTCACTAGATGTGTTTGTGTTCTTTACACAAAACTGATATTATTTTAATTCCTAACAAGACACGTGATTCAGTTTGGGAGAGAAAGTAGCGTTTGTCTCCGTTTCCTTTGGTTAATGTTGCCCTTTATACACCTCAATAAACAGCATTTTACAATAATGGTCAAGTGATGGCGGGTAACTGAGGCAATACCTTAACATAGGCACAACCATTTGAACAACATACTTACATGTAGTAATACCTTAACATAGGCACAACCATCTGAACAACATACTTACATGTAGTAATACCTTAACATAGGCACAACCATCTGAACAACATACTTACATGTAGTAATACCTTAACATAGGCACAACCATCTGAACAACATACTTACATGTAGTAATACCTTAACATAGGCACAACCATCTGAACAACATACTTACATGTAGTAATACCTTAACATAGGCACAACCATCTGAACAACATACTTACATGTAGTAATACCTTAACATAGGCACAACCATCTGAACAACATACTTACATGTAGTAATACCTTAACATAGGCACAACCATCTGAACAACATACTTACATGTAGTAATACCTTAACATAGGCACAACCATCTGAACAACATACTTACATGTAGTAATACCTTAACATAGGCACAACCATCTGAACAACATACTTACATGTAGTAATACCTTAACATAGGCACAACCATCTGAACAACATACTTACATGTAGTAATACCTTAACATAGGCACAACCATCTGAACAACATACTTACGTACATGTAGTAATACCTTAACATAGGCACAACCATCTGAACAACATGCTTACATGTAGTAATACCTTAACATAGGCACAACCATCTGAACAACATACTTACATGTAGTAATACCTTAACATAGGCACAACCATCTGAACAACATACTTACATGTAGTAATACCTTAACATAGGCACAACCATCTGAACAACATACTTACATGTAATACCTTAACATAGGCACAACCATCTGAACAGTAGTAAATACCTTAACATAGGCACAACCATCTGAACAACATACTTACATGTAGTAATACCTTAACATAGGCACAACCATCTGAACAACATACTTACATGTAGTAATACCTTAACATAGGCACAACCATCTGAACAACATACTTACATGTAGTAATACCTTAACATAGGCACAACCATCTGAACAACATACTTACATGTAGTAATACCTTTAACATAGGCACAACCATCTGAACAACATACTTACATGTAGTAATACCTTAACATAGGCACAACCATCTGAACAACATACTTACATGTAGTAATACCTTAACATAGGCACAACCATCTGAACAACATACTTACATGTAGTAATACCTTAACATAGGCACAACCATCTGAACAACATACTTACATGTAGTAATGCCTTAACATAGGCACAACCATCTGAACAACATACTTACATGTAGTAATACCTTAACATAGGCACAACCATCTGAACAACATACTTACATGTAGTAATACCTTAACATAGGCACAACCATCTGAACAACATACTTACATGTAGTAATACCTTAACATAGGCACAACCATCTGAACAACATACTTACATGTAGTAATACCTTAACATAGGCACAACCATCTGAACAACATACTTACATGTAGTAATACCTTAACATAGGCACAACCATCTGAACAACATACTTACATGTAGTAATACCTTAACATAGGCACAACCATCTGAACAACATACTTACATGTAGTAATACCTTAACATAGGCACAACCATCTGAACAACATACTTACATGTAGTAATACCTTAACATAGGCACAACCATCTGAACAACATACTTACATGTAGTAATACCTTAACATAGGCACAACCATCTGAACAACATACTTACATGTAGTAATACCTTAACATAGGCACAACCATCTGAACAACATACTTACATGTAGTAATACCTTAACATAGGCACAACCATCTGAACAACATACTTACATGTAGTAAACCATCTTAACAACAGGCAAACCATCTGAACAACATGGGCCATCTGAACAACACACTTAATACATGTAGTAGGCACAACCATCTGAACATAGGCACAACCATCTGGCACAACCATCTGAAACATGCTTACATGTAGTAATACCTTAACATAGGCACAACCATCTGAACAACATACTTACATGTAGTAATACCTTAACATAGGCACAACCATCTGAACAACATACTTACATGTAGTAATACCTTAACATAGGCACAACCATCTGAACAACATACTTACATGTAGTAATACCTTAACATAGGCACAACCATCTGAACAACATACTTACATGTAGTAATACCTTAACATAGGCACAACCATCTGAACAACATACTTACATGTAGTAATACCTTAACATAGGCACAACCATCTGAACAACATACTTACATGTAGTAATACCTTAACATAGGCACAACCATCTGAACAACATACTTACATGTAGTAATACCTTAACATAGGCACAACCATCTGAACAACATACTTACATGTAGTAATACCTTAACATAGGCACAACCATCTGAACAACATACTTACATGTAGTATTCAACCATTCTGGTAACACAGCTTGTATATCCTTCTGAAAAAAAGACAGAGATAAAAGTTTAATGCAATTATATATATTATGCATTCATGCACCTCACCAATTAAGCACCATCTAATTAGAACTTTATATTCGAGTGAGAAATCAGCCCCCCCTTGACAGTCGTAGCACCAGGCTTTGCTTACAGGCCACAGACACGTGAAGATCCGGGTTAGAAGTGATCTTCAGTAAACCATGCATGCTTGTCGTAAAAGGCGACTAACGGGATCGGGTGGTCAGGCTCACTGACTTGGTTGACATACGTCATCGTATCCCAGTTGCGTAGATCGATTTATTGCTGAGTGCAGCGTTCAAAAAACCAAGCAAACCAACCAACCAACATGGAGGCAGGAATCTTTATGTGCAGCGTCAAGGAGCAAAAAAAAACCACTTACGTTTGTGTGCAAACTGCATATGAGAAGGGGGCAGACACACAGAGCAGGATATGTGTACCCTTTTCGCGAACACCGGGTGTTAAAACGTAACGCTACATCGGTAATATTACGGAAATATTTAATCAATATCGTGACTGATATATAGTGATCTATATAATTCCCACGGCTATTTCTCCTTTTAGGCTCCTTGGATATAATCGAGACCGATAATTCTCGGGCGTGAACGTTTTGTATTTACATGGCATTAGTATGATGTTTCGTAAAGCAGATGCTTTGTCTGACTGACTGACTGAGTATGGTTTTACGCCGCTTTTAGCAATATTCCATCAACATCACGGCGGGGAGACACCAGAAATGGGCTTCACACATTGCACCCATGTGGGGATTCGAACCCGGGTATTCGGCGTGACGAGCCAACGCTTTAACCACTAGGCTACCCCACCGCCCCTTCAGATGCTTTGTAACAATGAAACGAAATATTTCTAGATATTTCAACCGGGGCCCTTATTCTCGAAACGTTCGTAGCCCTAAGAATTCTTAACTTTGATCGTAACCAATGTGTTAAGAATGGGCTAAAGAAGTTCCTAAGGTTACGAACGTTTCGAGAATAGCTAGCCAGATAGTGTAAACTATAAGTTTGATAACGACCCCTACTTTGAAAGTTAATACGTCAATTTGTGCGAATCTGTTGGATTAGCTGAAGACGAAGTTAGCATCCCTTTTCAGAATATTTGATGTTAAAGTTAGTCCGATTCTATTATACGGCGCTGAAATTTGGGGATCTCAATATTTCGACCAATTAGAAAAAGTTCATTTACTTGCATGTAAGATGTTTCTTGGGGTAAATATAATTATGATCACACCTAATGTAATGATTTATGGTGAGTGTGATAGGTTTCCTCTTAGTATAAATTCACAAGTGAAAGTAATCCAATATTGGCCAAGACTTTTAAGTATGTCCTCTTATCGTTTACCAGTGAAATGTTATGACATGATGATTTTTATATGATAGAAATGGACACACAAATTGGGTAAAGAATGTAAGGAATCTTTTATTTACAACAGGTTTTAATCACATGTGGTATGAGCAGTATGTTGAGTTTCCCTCAACGTTTATTAGTTTATTTACGCAAAGATTGAAAGATATATACCAACAAAACTTTCTTGAAAACTTTCCCTTTCTACGAAATGTGATTACTCTTCATCTTTTAAGCCATACATTTACACTGAGCATTATATCCATGTGTCACGATAAAAAAATCTAGAGTAAGTTTAGCACGTTTTCGCTGCTCATCACATGATCTATGGATTGAAAAAGGTAGATTTATTAAGATAAAAAGAGAAGATAGGTTATGTAAATAATATGTCTTTAATATGTCTATAATGTCTGTAATATTAATGCCTTAGAAAATGAATATCATTTCTGCTCATATGTCCACTATATGATAAACTACGTAGAAAGTACGTAGAAAGAATGTTATTATGTACATCCATCTACAAATAACTGCAACAACCATGATGTGATTCAGAATGTTGCTATGTTTATATATCTGGCTATAGAACTGAGAAAAGAATAATCGTCATCGAGCATGTAAACATAATATCAAATAGTAATATTGTATAATATAAAACTCTTCTATATTGTACTACTACATATTGTACTATAGGCCTGTGGCCTTTGAGTATTGAATAAAGATTGGACATTGGAAGTTGCGTGAAAACATGCATATTGAAACCGCCTACGTTGCCATGCGCCACATCATTGACGAGGAGGGGGAATATGCGCATTACCTTGTTGCAAGTTTCTGCAGCAACTAGCAAGACATGCTGTGCTCTCTGATATTGCTGTGCGGCAAGTCACTATACACCCGAACACAGGTTTTCCAGCATCCTGTTACAATAGTGCCCTTGACTGCACTCTGCCGTCCGTGTTGTTATGTTATGACACACATATCCTTAAAGCAACTTTAGATATCAGTAATTTCTTAATGTGAATACAGCTTGCCATACATTTCGTGCTGTTTTCGTCAAGCCTGAAAACTTCCATTCATAAAACAGCCGCTTGCATGCTTTCACGCTATTTTGTTATATCTTCCTCGTGTAGACTGTACCAAATCTGATTTCAATACTGGCTTCACACAAATATGCCTCCTGTTGTCAACTGTCTTTTTGGTAATTGATACTCTAGGCTTTTGTTGTCAAATAACATTGTGGGTGATTTCGAGGGTTAAAAGAAGGACAGAAAACCCTAAATGCCGCCATGTTACATGTTACAGACACTGTCGTGCTTCAATACTTAGCGAACAATACAGTTGGGCAATACATCAGCACATGTACTCGTTGTCCTGTATTTAGTCAGGTCAGGTGTTACCTTGGCGACAGAGTGGAGTGAGTGAGTTTAGTTTTACGCCGCTTTCAGCAATATTCCAGCTATATGGCGGCGGTCTGTAAATGATTGAGTCTGGACCAGACAATCCAGTGATCAACAGCATGAGCATAAATCTACGCAACTGGGATACGATAACATGTGTCAACCAAGCCAATCCCGCTATATTGCCTCGTACGACAAGCATGAGTTGCTGAAATCCAATTCTTACCCGGATTTTCACGGGTGACAGGGAGGAAGTATTTTAAGAAATATTTGTATCAAATATCATCGAAATGAAATAAAAACCTAAAGGATATTACCGCTTAACTTATCCTGGCGTCATCAATGTTAGCCCGTATAAGACACACGTGTAAAATACAAACGAATATTTAAACAGGTATACTACGGTACTTACATGTTATTATGTTTATTGTTAGTTCATTCAAGTGTTTAATACATGTTTAAGTCTACGAAACTAACGTCAGCATCGATCGCTTCCAAAGTGCGACCATGACACTTTGGCATGACGTCATATGTTTCCGTCGGCTCATAGGCTTGAGCTAAAATGTCAAATGAGTATGGCACAAGCCATGTGATTTTATTTTTGATCATGTTTTGTTTTTATGTTTTCACTCACTGGTTGGCCTTGCACCGATTCGAGTATATACTGGTAATCGTGGTATAGTTTGAATAGTTCTGACTGCGGGTTCACTCCCAAAAGACAGACCTCCCATAAGACAGACTCAATGAGTACAATAATTAGCTGAGCCATGCTGTCCACCCCTATTTAATTAATGAGCTGGCCTAAGAAGAGCAGAGTATGTCCCATCCCAGAAAGGTGCGCACCAGGATCTTTTAGAGGTTGTAGGGGTGCGGTGAAATTGGGTTTAACGTCGCGCTGGAGAATATTTCGCTCATATGACGACGTGCATGCGTGTGTATGTGTAGGTGCGGCTGCTTGAACTAGCCCAGACGCAAGCTGGTTTTATAGTGCTAGCCCACTGAGATACCATGCCGCAGTGAAGCATGAATACCCCACTCAGACACATTATACTGACTCCGAGCCGACCTGTCCTTGTTGTACCCATTAATGCCGAGCGCCAGACAGGGACCAACAAGTACCATATTTTAACGTCTTTTGGTATGACGCGGTCGGGGATCGAATCCGCGACCTTCCGCTCTCCGGGCGGACGCTCTAACCACTACACCACGGAGGCGGTCCAGAGGTTGTAGGGAAAAAAGCATAGGAACATAATTAAATTCAAACTTCCAAATAAACGGGAGCCATGGTCTCGTATGCGATCCACCCGTGAAGGTCCGGGTTAGAATGAACCTTCAGTAACCCATGCTTGTCGTAAGAGGCGACTAACGGGATCGGGTGGTCTCGTTGACTGGGTTGACACATGTCATCGCATCCCAGTTGCGTAGATAGATGTTCATGCTGTTGATCCCTGGGTTGCCTGGTCCAGTTCCGATTATTTACAGTCCGCCGCCATATAGCTGGAATATTGCTGAGTGCGCCGTAAAACTCAACTCGCTCACTCCACCCTGTCCCAATATCCATTCATTCAGATTTGCACGATTTAAGATGTTCCTTCCTCTGTTATTTTTTGAATGTTATAAAAAGATATCCATTAAAGGATTCTAACGATTGCAATGCATTTGGAGCAAAAGATATAGTATGACCAGAAATTATTGAGAATTTTAGGAATATGTTTAACTGGATTTCTAGTATAAACAACCTTGACCAGCTATCAAGTGCTTGGTTTCATTCAAGACAGACAACTCTGCTAGTCCTTTTTCATTAGTTTGTGAAGGGTTATGCCCCTTTGTTTACTTGCTAGCAGACGACATTTTCAGTTATCCTCAGTATGGATGATTTAGAGAAGAGGAAGTTGATTTTAGAGTATTATAACAAAAACATCAGATCAGCTAAAGTGATTTCAAGTAGAACAGGCATCCCTTTGTCCACTGTTTATCATGTTTTGAAAAATATTGCAAATGGATATGGCATTGAGCACCAGGGAGGCGCAGGTAGGCCCAGAAAATTGACTGTCGGTGACAGGAGGGGGCTTGGTATTCTTGTTTCTAAAAACAAACGAAGGAGTTTAGAAAACTTAAGGCTGGATATCGTTGATAGAGGAACTGTGGCTGTCTGTCAGGAGACAATTACAACTGAGCTGCATCCAATGGGTTGGCAGAAAAGTCGAGGAATTCCATCATCGATCATGAAACCTGAACAAAAGGAGCGAAGGTTGAACTGGTGCTTACAGCATAGAAATTTTAACTTGGACAATGTGATTTTCTCAGATGAAAGTTCTGTGTGGCTGTTTCCTAATACACTGAAATTCTGGACCAAACAAACTGAAAAACCTTTGTATCAGCGCCCAAAGTACAGTCCGAAATTTAACGTGTGGGGTGGCATGTATGTGTTAGGGGCAATGCCCCTATGTGTATTTGAAGGGAATATGAACAGTGAGCGATACACAGATATTCTCGAAGGACATTTACTTCCATCTGCTCACGTGTTCTGTGGAAATTTTGGATTTTCCAGCAGGACAACGACCCAAAACATCGTTCAAAGCATTCACAGGCCTGGTTTCGGACCCAAAATATGACATTATTAGATTGGCCAAGCTATAGCCCTGACCTAAATCCAATAGAAAATGTTTGGGGACTTATGAAGGAAAGTGTCAATAAGAAAAATCTGACAAATATTGCTGAAATGAAAGAAGAGGTGGTCCGATATTGGGACAGCATGGACCCGCCGCATTGAAGCCTGCATTGCTTCCCATGGTGACTTGACAAAATACTAACTGCTCACCTGTCTTTGAATCTCGAGTTATGTTCTATTATATTCACATTTAATACGTGAGTAATGAATGAAAATATAAAAAAATTACAATCTTTAAATTCTCAATAATTTCTGGTTGCACTGTATAAGGTAATAAATATATCTCTTACCCGTTACGATCTGATCGTTTTAACATCTACGAGAAAGAGTCTAAACTCATCAAGCCTCCAACGATTACACTCGATTGCTCAATCGTCAGTTACAGGAAATAGCTGCGTGTATTTTCGTCCTCAGCAGTTGCCTAGAAATACCCGGATCAAGATTAACCTTTGATAGAGGACAATTGTGTCAGCTGCGTCTAAAGCGATTGCGCAGACCACACTTGGCAGACCCCAGCGTTAAGTTTGATCAAACTTCCAAAATGGCCCCAGGCTACACCTGGTTGGGCACATTATCCCAATACAACCGCTGGTCTGGTTGTACTGTGAGGTGATACGCGGGATTTACACCACTGGTAAAACCTTAGGGGGAGGGAAATCCCCCGGTTTAACATTCTCTACGAAAACCTCGGGGGCGTGTTTTCTCCGAAACAAACAAACACGTCTCCAGAAGGCAAAGCACCTTATGACCTTATATGCTTATGTTTTTCCAGTAATAACTAACTTAAGCGTTTATTGCATATGAAGCTACGCCTTTGAAGCTTGCGCTCATCGTATATTGCTGTACACACAAGCACCTTGTCATGTATGCCATGACCGGTGTTTCAGATATTTCCAAACATGAATTAAAAAATACGTCATGACGCCTCGCCATGTACTTGATCATCGAGTATTTCCAATACATGCCTTTTTATTGTAATATCTGCTGAAATTTCAGAATACTTTCTTAATTATGATAGGGTTTGAAATATGATCATTTCCTTAGACTGGGATACATTTGTGAATACATATATGGTCAGTAGCAGCGTTTCATACCTTAGAGACTTATGTATCATTCCGGAGACTTATGTATCATTCCGGAGACTTATCATTCCGGAGACTTATGTATCATTCCGGAGACTTATGTATCATTCCGGAGACTTTTGTATCATTCCGGAGACTTATGTATCATTCCGGAGACTTTTGTATCATTCCGGAGACTTATGTATCATTCCGGAGACTTATGTATCATTCATTCCGGAGACTTATGTATCATTCCGGAGACTTATGTATCATTCCGGAGACTTTTGTATCATTCCGGAGACTTATGTATCATTCCGGAGACTTTTGTATCATTCCGGAGACTTATGTATCATTCCGGAGACTTTTGTATCATTCCGGAGACTTATGTATCATTCCGGACCGCCATATAGCTTCAATATTGCTGATTATGGCATTAAACAACACAATAACCAAAACAAACTAACGGATATCAAGGGCATGTGTTCGAACAGTTTTATGTGTTAATATTACAATACAAGACCTTTTAGTGCACATGAAATTAATATGTTTACTCTAAAATTTTACTCAATTGAGTGCTCACACCACAAGTCGTGTGTAACTGAATGAAAACAGTGGGGCAGTCTTTCTTTTCTCATCCGCCTTATCGTCAGCCTGAGAAGAAAGGTAGAGTATGAAAAAATAACAGTTTTACATTTCCTTTTTTTTCCTGCAGATATTATCAGATAATGTCATATACATATTTCATGCATCATAAATCTCTTCCTAATCTGTACTGTCTCCGTAGCACACTGCAGCTCCTACTTCATCCCAGTATCAGTTATTACCTCCCTTGTTAGTAATCCAGCCAGCTGAGATTCAAGCCCAGCTTCCTACACAAAACTTTTGTATATGAAATTTTGTTAAGTTATGTTTCATATCCCATAGTACCACTTTCCTGTCATGTGACCATAAAAGCACATGTGGTACTGGGACCCCACGCTTCAGTGTGTTAGCAGCCTCCATACTGTCAAGAGACCGCCTGTGTTAGCAGCCGCGGGTTCCACCGCGTCATACTGGTACATTAATGGGTACAACAACGACTGGTCGGATCGGAGTCAGTATAATGTGTCTGACTGCTTCATTGCGGCATGGTATCTCAGTGGGCTAGCCCTATAAAACCAGCTTCAGCTGGGCTACAGCAGCCGCAACACACATGCATGCACGTCGTCATATGGGCGAAATATTCTCAAGCAGGACGTTAAACCCAATTTCACCTCACCTCACCTCACCATACTGTCAAGAGGTCTCTCCTCTGACTGTTAATCTCAACGTAGCTCACAGGAACACAAATGTGAGTCTTGCATCTTTATTATCTCACTGTTACTATTCTGTTTTGTGCAAATATAATGTTTAATGGTCTTCTTTGAAGTTCATGGTTTCATAATGCTATTGTTACATGCAATATTGCTAAAAGTGTTCAAATAATGTTCAAACGTTTTCAAAGTTGTTAAACATGATTTGAGATGATATTTTGTCAATGCATTATATTTTATAGTCAAATTATATTACAAATTGTTTCTGTTTATTCTAGTTTTACAAACCTCATCCACTCATCTACTTATCCTTTCTATCAACGATTGCAATGGCTAATGATCAACGTGAAATGTGTACTGTCCATTGGTCAACGCACTTCAACGCCTAAAGTGTTAATCATTGTTTTCCATCAACGAAAAAATCCCTGTGGATGCGAGTTACGGGAGCTTTGTTATTCTTGCGTCTACACAGAATTATCGTAGGATTATGTATATGCTTAATGTTTTTATAACGTATGTCCCATACTGTATCGGTAAATTGAACAGTATAGTTCACTGGTCTCAAGGGGGACATGGGCTGATGTACCCTTGATGTCTGTGTATGTTCCCTGAGCCCGAAGGGTGAGGGGAACATAAAGAAACATCGAAGGTACATCAACCCATGGGCCCCGAGGGACCAGTGAACAAGGTATTTATCTTACCAAACACCTCAATGGTAATTTTGAACTGTTTGAAGCACGGGTATTGGATCATAGTATGGAGTACCAGACGACAAGAAAAACAAATTTAGAGTTATCTCCCTTCCATCGATTTGCATTCGCAAGACATCGGTAATTTCCGTACATCATACATGATTCAATGTTATTCGAGAATTACTACTACGAAGTACCAAATGAGTTTTGCATTCCCAGCGGGGTACATAGGAAATGTTACTCGCTTGTAAGCGGGGTACATTGAAAATAATAGAAGAGCGCTCAGCCAATCAGAAAACGATAGTTATGTGTGAGGCAAGATAAAAATTAATGTTCATAACTTCAAGCACAAGACACATACACTTTGGTATCAACAGGCGATTCAGTATTTAAACTAACAACGTTGTACCCAAAGGCAAATTCAACATATATCATGTTCTCATTTATCTTAGAATCACATACAAAAATCATTTGTTTCTTTGAAGGTTTGCAGTGACCCCAATTGGTTTAAAAACTAGTATGTAATTCTCACTAGATATGTTGGTGTTCTTTATACAAAAGTAATATTGTAATGTACGCTTATTTTCATTCCTAACAAGGCACGTGCTTCGGTTCAAGTAATGTTTTCAATTATATAGTCATAGTTAAGAATTCTTAAGAATGTTGCGGCTATTTCGCTCACATTTCCTTCTTAAAAAATAGTGAACTTATACTCAAAGGCTGAAGTTATTGTGACTGACTTTAAGTTAGATATGTGAATTAACAACCGATATTTTTATGATGAGACTTTTTTAATATTGCAAGAAAATCATTCCACAATAGGATTGGGAATGGCACATTTTAAACTTTTCTGGCGGACACATGCTAATGAGGTCACAGCAGAGACCATATAATAGACCTATTATATGGTCTCTGGTCACAGTGAGAGAACGGTCAAATGAAATTCACGCAGTCAATAACGTGTATGTCCATGTTTGACACCTGCGCCTCATAAAGCAAATCAAACGTCGCAAGAAGTCTTGGGGAATGTCATTCCATATCTGTGGAAGCACCTGGCGGAGCTCCTGAAGCCTTACTGGAGGATTTGGCCAACGTCTCAACCTCCTCTCATTGTCGTCCCAGACGTGTTCGATAAGGGACAGATCTGGGGATTTAGCGGGCCTGGGAAGGACGTTAACATTGTGCTGCGCTAAGAACTGCTGAACCACCTTGGCGACATGAGGTCTGACGTTGTCTTGCTGGAAGATCATTCTTTTCATTCTGGACCATTCTGCGGCATGACCATTCTGCCGTGGAAACGGTATGACGACTGGATTAACAATTTCGTCTCTGTACCTGAGGCCCGTTAAATTTACATTGGTGACAAGCATAGGTGCACGTATATATGGCACTCGTTATTCCACCCCAAATCATCACCACACCGCCACCAAAACGGTCGGCCCCAAAGGAAACAGTTTATAACATAACGCTCACCACGTCGCCGGTAAACTCGGGTTCGGCCATCAGCGCGGTGCAAGAGGAATCTAGACTCGTCAGTGAAGAAGAGACCATGTCTCCACCCACGTGCTCTCCACCGCAGATGTTGTCTGCACCACTGCGGTCGCAGACGTTGGTGACCTAATGTCAGAATGTGTTGTCTCGCAGGATGTCTAGCACGTATCCCGTGTGCAGCCAGACCCCGGCGAATGGTCCTTGGCGATATCCAGTTGAAACGAGGAACTGTTCGGGCTGTCAGAGTGGCTGGGCACGTTTTATGCCTTTTTTCAACGGACATCTTGAAAGCACGAAAAACTCATCCAAAACAAAATCTACCGACAGGGCCCTGTTTAGATTATGGATAAAGTGTATTATAAAGAATATTATAATGCATTATAAACATTTTCTCATGTATATAAACCAGTGTGTTGATCACACTAATACCCTGTTCGCATGTACATGATTTACATATGTGAGCATATTTCCATATATGCAAATATACACATATGTGCAGATGTAAATATACTATGCGTTCGCATGATAATTAAGCAAGGAACGTAAATAGGGTATGTAACATTATTTCATTTAAAGTTTTCGTCCAAGGTTCAGTCATAAGCTTGACGTTGTAATGGACAGACTGCCAACTCGCATCTGCATTAAGTTGTGGATTATACAGTGACAAGTCAGTTTGGAAGAAAGACGGGCAATCGCCCTGGTGGGACGACATGATTAGATCAGGCGACGAGTAAGATTGGTATGACAATTTTAGGATGACTAAAGATGTATTTGAGTGAGACCTTCACATCCCTCAACGAATACCCTGCAGACCTTGTCACCAAGACCATCAACAAGACCATCAACACCACAGATGCCAGCCCCAAGCCTGCACCATCCCCCATTAGAATCACAATTCCCTACATAGGACCTGTCAGCCACAAGATCTCCCGCCTCATCAAAAACCAAACCAGCATTGACGTCACATTCTCTAGCGGCAAGTTCCTCAAGAATCTTCTCAGA